AGTTTGTGAACGTGTGTCTGCACAATACACACACACACACACACACACCATAGCGAACGATAGTAAGCCGCATTTTGCCGATCTCTCGAGGGAGGTGGGGGTCCCTCAGTGTGTGCGCGCTGTACTCCAGCCGTGCTAGACGCTGCCGCTGGTCGTGTACAACAGCCTTCGCATTCTTCGGAGAAGTGAAAGCAGTTTCAGGGAAATTCTGGTGGCGACCGGGCGTTCGTTCGTTCGTTCGCTCGTTCGCTCGCTCGCCAAAGGTATAGAGTCGGTCGTGTGACGTTTCTTTCACCTCCGTGCCGCAGAGGCTCTCGCGTTAGATCCGCGACCTGCGCGAGATCCAGGTCGGATCCCTTTTTCTCTATTATCGGTACACGAGATCGGGCCTCATCATTACGAAATCGGTCGTAATCGTCTCGCCCTAAGGAGACGCGTTTATACGTATGTGCACGCGCGCGAAACAGATGGCAAGCTCGGACGCAATCTCGTGCCCCGCGGTGAGATAATGGACAAACGGCATGAAGCATCTACGTGGAGAACGTTGCGAAATCGTCGGAGGGGACACGGAATAGAAGAGCGCCACTCGTGAGTCAGATTTCGTCGTTCCGTTCTATCTAGGAATGTGTCACTGGCCGATATCCACAGCTGATCTTATATTTAAGATCATCTTAGGTTTAAGTAGAGTCTTGAGATGTTAGGAAAATCCCAATTCTGATATTCATAGCTGATTATTCTAATATTTCAGACTGTTTTAAAACAATCTTAAGATGTCATCAGCCAATTATTATATTATAATAGAGAGAGCTGTATTAGCATCTTGAGACAATACTTAAGACAGTCTTAAAAGAATGGATTATGGATACCATTCACGAAGTCTATCCCCGATTAAGGGAGAATACGCTCTTTCATAAATGAAGAGAGGAGGTCTACCACCGCTGCCGCGAAGATCGTTCGGTTTCGTTACGTAAATATTACATCATTACGTCAATTATTTCTTCTTATCTTCGATATTGCCGCAAGAATCGTCTTCAAAAGTCGGGCACTCTCCCGCGACAAACAATTATTTGTAATCCTGTAATTAAAGCGCATGTGTGTCGCAGTATATGGAGTATAATACTGTTAGTGGTTCACTAGAAACAGCTGAATAGATCATGAAAATACATGAAAAAGTGTCGAGGAAATAATTGGAGCGAATAACAGACAATGACTGGCCTAGTCTTTTTAGTTGAACTTCTTACACAGTTCACTCCTATCCTCCTTTTCTCCGAGCTTTTCTCTTCACGTTGGAGAAGAAAAGAGAAAAGATAAGCTGTGTAAGAAGTTCAGCATAAAGAGAACAGGTCTAATTTGTCATTGACAACTTTCATTAGAAGTTTAGCTGGCATCAACATTAAAAGACATTTTAACATGTTAAATACTCTTTGGAGAGGTTTTCTTAAACTGTTCAGAGGATACATCTTAAGAACTTCTCCAGGTCGTCCCTTGGATAACTATGTTGTATGGCATTTATTAAGCAAGTCTAATTTTACCTGATTAATGAGAGAGAGACTCGATCTGATTTCTATACGAAAAAAATGATTTTGCCGAAGTATCTAAAAATTTACCATAGATATAGATCTAAAAAAATATTGTCAAACCATCAAAATAATTATGTAGAAATCTCAAGTATAAGCAATGCTGCAAAAAGTTTCGACATTCTGACAATCAGTTTGACCGTCCCATATAATTCTTTTGATGATCCAACAAAGTTATTTTCAGATATATACCTATATAGCTATATAAATTTTTAGATAATTCAACAAAGTATTCTTTCTGTGTAAAAATTCAGAATTAATAACGGAAGTCGCTCTAGTTTCTTTTTGTATTTAGACAGTCGCCACGTGTTCGACTTAAATCCGAAATAATGTAAGCGTGCGAAGAAATCTCCGCGTTGAAATCTCTACTCCCCAGCGAGTCTCGCCATTTTATCGCGACGAGGCGCGAATCGAGCGCGTCGCGTCGTATAGTTTCTTTGTTTCTTTCTTTCCTCTTCCTTTTTTTGTCGATTTCCGTCACGAATCTTCCCGATGAGACATCGACCGATCGTCACCTTGATGCGTGAAATTCCACAAGTTTGAGCCAGGTGATCGGAATTCGAATCTCCTGCGCGACGCGACGCCACGAAGTTAACGGCTCGACGGTACGCGACGCTTTCGGGGATTTAATCCGGGGATCGACCCGGGCGCGTTGCGTGCTGCAACTACCTAATCGACGTTACGGTACCTTGGAGCCATACGAGGCTTCGTGTTTCGTTACGCGTCGAATGCTACGATTAAGTATAGCGGTACAGTATTGACTTCGTCGGGGAGTCGCGCTGAACGGTGCGAGGCGCGAATATCTCCGGAATAATCCGTGGAATTTAGGCGTGTACAGTTAAAAGTTCGTCATTATTACTTATTATTACGAAGAGAGAGCGAACGTTGTATAATTAAAAGCGAAGTAAAATTCTTGCTTTCGAAAAATACAGATTATTGCCTGCAATTAAACTGTTCTCAGATAATTATCGTAATTTTTGCGAAAATAATTTTTTATGCATTCGTCTCAATGATCAAGTTCCTTATTTTAATTAGGATTTTAGTATTTAAATGGAAGTAGGCTACAAAATTGTATTGCTTGTTAATATTAATTTTGGCTACATATGAATAAAATATTAATATTGAATTCGATATCCCAAGGAACACCAAGTCAAGAGAAAGTCAAAATAACTTTATTTTGTCGTCACGAAAGTCAAACCTAAGGAACGTATTAATTCAAGAGAAAGTCAAAATGATGATTTTTGAAAATTTGACTGTTTACTGACTTTAGAATTAAAATAAAGTTACTTTTTTTTTATTTTTATGTATCTTTTGGGAAATTATTTTTTACAAAATTTGATTGTTTATTGACGTTAAGAATCGAAATAAATTTATTTAGATTTGTTATTGCCTTCCATGTGTCCCTTGGGATTTTAATATACATTTCAATATGTGTTGTGTGTGTTAAAGATGCATCTTGCATAATAAAATGTAAAAGTAAATCGCGTTTTCGCGCGTATAAGTGTTACGCAGACCAATTTCTCGAGAGAGAATCGCCGCCTATTTTTTCCTCATTAAAAATACGCGGCTATAAATAAAAGATCTTGCGCGAAAGAGTAGTCGTGAAAGCCAATTCGGACATCAGTCGCAGCCAGGCGATACGTTTAATAACAACACTTTCACGATGCTCGGAGCTCATCGTAAATCAACCGTACTCCACCTGCGCTATCGCCCCGTTGAATCTGATTTGTCCGCTTTCGCATAATTTTTTGCATTCCAGGGCGGGGCAATTTTCTTAACCTATTTTTTCGCTTTTAGATTTTTCTTTTTGTCGCTTTAGTAGAAAATCCACGACGTTTCGATCTTCGAAATTAATCAGGTCAGATTGAATATACGGTGTTTCGCACGCGATCTCTCGACTGTGTGGTTCTTTTTTCTTTAGAAACATCTTGGTTCCGTCTCGTTTCTCATTTCCTCTCGACTCGCTCATTTCTAGTATTGAGTGTCTCGGTTAAATTATACCTTAAAATAATATGTCAGTTCGCGTTTAAAAATCGCGGATGAAATTTTTTTACAACGGCTTGTAACTCGTAATTAGAAATAATGAAAGTTCTGATTTGAGTAGTCAGTTATTAAACTATAATTCAGTTTACAAGAGATAAATAATTAATCATCGATGGTATATGTTACAGATTAATGTAGATTATAAAGATCAACGTGGAGAGAAATATTTAACTCTTCTCCAAAAAACACATAAAAAATCAAAATGATTTTGTTTCGATCCTTGACGCCGACATGATCAAATTTTGTAAAAAAAAATTATCATTTTGACTTTTATGACGTCAAAACAAAATAATTTTGATTTTCTCTTCACTTGGTTCTTGGATCCATCGATCCATGTAATTTTCAACGTTCTACTTCTCCTTTACGTATATCGTATAAATCGTGATGGAAACATTTCTGCTATTCATCAAAGACCGAAAAGATCTCAACACTGAGAAGAATAACGTGACGCGATGCCGAAGATCAGCTGGAATGACGTCACGTCACGAAGCCGGATACAAGTTCTATCGTGGGTACACGTGCCCCCATCGAACGTGTCCCGTAAATCGTAGCGGTGATTCCTTCCCTTTTCTTTTTTTTTTATCGTCCTCGCTCGCCACTTAAAACGTCAGTCGCACCGTAAGGGAAATCAGTTAATGCTTTGTGATTCTTTAATATGATTGATTTATTGTTAGGTTTAGAGAAAGATCAAGCTGAAAATTGATTAGTTTTCTCTGCTGAACGCAGCCAGTGAGAAAAAGAGAGCGTGTATTATTGCTCTAAATCCGTGCTCTGTAAGAACAAATTGCAGAAGCAAAAATAAAAAATGTAGAGAACAAAGAAAATTTACAAAAATTAAAGAAAATTATAATATTGTAGTTACAAAGTAAAACAAAAAAGGAAACAATATATATGTATGTACAAACCCAAGTATATTTAGCAAAAATAAAATAAAATAAAAATAGAATACAAAATATAATAAGTATACAATTAAAGAAAATTGATATGAGAGAGAGAGAGAGAGAGAGAGAGAGAGAGAGAGAGAGGAAACAAAGTATACACATTTATCGAATAGTTTTTCCTTTACTTTCGTGTCTGACTGCTTTAGAAGTGATGCTAAAGTTCCCGATCATCCCTTCGACTTTTGAATTGTAAATGACTCATAAGTTAATAGCTACGGGAGATAAAACGTGCAAGATTGATAATATCTCTCTCTTTCTCTCTGCAAATGAGAGAATTATTTCTGTATACGTATTCAGAGAAGCGAGAATCGAGCTTCGATAAGCGCATAATTGATGACTCTTAAATCTAACAACAAATCTCTAACAAATTTTCATCGAATCCTTTAACATAAATTGAAATAAAAGTTTTCTCTTCTTTACGAGAAAATTCCACGGGGATGCTCGAACGTTCAACGCGAAGAGAGATTAAGAGAGATTACATGGTAAGGATCGTTTTTTCTTTTCTCTGCTTTCAGATTGACTATCGGAACGCAAAATGGTATCGAGGCGGAAGATACTTTCGCGTTCGCGAGATAATCTCGTGGAGTCGCAGTACGAGGAACAAGATGAAGAAGACGTGTGGTATAACTTGGATAAATTGTACAAGGTAATCTTTATTTATTACTTTATTTATATGTATGTATATCGTCAATTAGATGTGTGTGAGTAGATGATATATATATATTTTTTTATTTTTTATATATTTTATAAATTTTTTTGTCTACAATATAATTTATACATACGATTACACTGAAAAAAATTTTAATTAAATATATATTTTTATATAAAATCCGTTAATTTGATTCAATTATAACTTTTTTATTGAGTAAATATTTATGGCAAGTAAATGTTTACTTATTACTATTCAAAGAAATATATATTATGAGATTTAGTAACTTTTGCAGTGTAATTTTTGTTACAAAGTAACTGAACGTAAATGGAAATTGTTAGCATTGATGTGCAAAGTAATGATTCATCCGAACTATGTTAGCTCATCTTTCGCCTGTCTTGCACTTGTAGGATCACATACAAGAGGTCTTAGATAAATGGAATCAGATAGATGACGAAATTTGGGCGAAAGTTATCGTTTTCGAGAGGAACAGACGGGTTGCGAAAGCGTATGCGAGAGCACCTGTCCTTACGATAAACGGGTCTAATGACGGATTCGACGGATTCAGGTATACACAATTCGGATTTGATATACGACTTATCTAGCGTCCCACTAAAATTTTCGTAATTTTGTAAAATGCACCGAGTGTTTTTTAATTGTATGTAAATATCTAATGAATCTAGATTCAAATTGCACAATGAGAAAAAATCCGGTATAAATATATAGGTCGTTTAAATTTTACTGATTTATTTCAATTTTCTTGTTGAAACATAATTATTTTAATAAAAACGATGTTTCATATTGAGAGATATATATAATTCAATATTCACTTAATCTCTTGTTTAATTAGATATCTATACTGAGGGCTTCAAAAAGTTTTTTTTATAAAGCGACGTATTATAATTTATATATAAATATACTATAATTTATAATATTTAACGTTATTGTATACCTTGGAATTTGACTTATAGGATAGGGCTTTGCGGATTTGATAATCCTATGAGAGACTCGAAAACGGAAGAGGCCAAGCGTCACATAAACCAAGGAGTTAAAATAAAGATGGATGAACAGGGCAATATTCTCATCAAGAGATTATGTAAAAATAACGTGTATGTGAAATCGACGAATCAAGAGGACAATGCGATCGGTCCAGAGATCATACGTAATTCGCAGGGCGCGCTCGAGCACGAGAAACCCGGAAAGGTGGGTCCGTTAATGTTTCGCGGTTTCTTAATAACCGTCCGCGTTGGAAATATTTATCAGCGAAAGCATCAAAATGGGTCAATCGCGCGATGGGGAGATCTCAGTACTATACTCTTGTCTACTTTTTCTAATTAACAAAAAATAATAACAATAAAAAGTTTTCCCTCGCCACTACGCGCGTATACATATTGCACGCGAAGAGATCGGCACGTATTGGCTTTATCACGATTGTGTGAATGCATGTTGATAGAGAAACTGCATTGCCTTTCTAATTAAAACTACAAGCAACCGAACCGTATAATAAGAGGCGTTTAAATCTCTTTATCGTCAGGAAATCATACGCCACGCACCCGGTATGAAAGGAGAGCGAAATGCTCCGCCGCTTAACATGATCTGCGGTTGTTCTTCCTGACTAAAGAATTCCTGTTCATGTTCGTTTATCAATTTACTCCTTCGTCGATAATACGTTTTTATTACGTACACCTCGCTGTCGGGAAGCCGATTGATGCCATAGCTTGGTGACGCAACCGTTAGCTTTCTCCTTAATATCGTGGAACACCGAACGTTACTGACTTCATGTTTCAGCTGTTCGACATGAATAAATTTCAAACGAATCTGTCGCGAGAGACGCGAAGGGCTTATCCGGATAGACGACGATTGGAGATGCAATGTCTGAGCGCTATCATATTCGTGAGAACGGAAGCCGACTTGCTTCAGTGCCCCGTATGGGTGCTCATCGTCAACGTGGTAGGATTGGACATGCTCAAGTCTAAGCTCCCACCAGGTATGCTGCTGGAAAGCGTGTGACATACATTAAACGCTATATAAAATTTCTACATACGGTTTGCAAACAATATTTGAGGTTTATCTATAATAGAGAATTCGCAGTTAGTGCGCACGTAAGCCTGGTAGAACATGGAGTCATAACAAAGTCATAATGATATCATAGGACGTCATCATGACGTCATTTGATACTTAAAAATGAACTTATAAGTGACAAATAAGGTCATGATGATGTCTTTATATGATATTACTCAACTTCTGTTCTACTTGGATTGTGCACTGCGGTTTAATCTGATTGTAAAAGCAAAATGCAAATATTTTAAATATAAAATATTTCATTTAACGACACGACAAAGTATACTGATTTCGCGGATTAACTCGCGAATATTCTGTATTTAGGTTTGTTTTTTCTTGTACTGTATAGACTCTCAAGTATAATAACATTTTCATATGATCATATTTATCCAGGTATCAGGTAACAAACTGATGTTATTTATCGTCGTTTCGATGACAAATAATATTATCTTGCTACTTGGATTATAAGTTCATTTTTAAATATCAAATATGATATCATGATGACGCCCTATGATATCATTATGATTTAATTATGGCTTCTTTGCAATTCATTCAGAGTTGGATATTAACCTTTTTTTGTCAAAGGAAAATTAAAATAATATAAATATTATCACTTTCAAATAATATAATTGTTATTATCTCCGTTGTATTCTTTTAGTTCTAGCATTACAGAGGCCGGTGGATATAAAGAATAGACCTAGAATACCAATTCCTGACGAAGATCCCTACAGCGTGGCCGGTGTGTCATCGTCCGTAGGTCCTAGCGAAATAATGTCGACGGACAGGGACTCGCGGGAGCAAATCTACATGCAGTCGACGAGTTACCAGCATCGACGTGCTGAGAGACCGCCAAAATTGCCGCCTCGAGAAAATCTTTATGGCCATGGCATCCCCAAGGTAAACGTTAAAAACGATTAGACTGTTAGGGCCATGGCACGCAGAAAAATTTAAGAAAAACTAAGTAAGATGTCAAAACTAACTAAACAATAAGGAAATCAACGTATTGGATTTACTGTTCGTTGCTTACGTTAAGGCCTTAGTTCTATGATTAGCCAATTTCTCTTAAACTTTTGTTTAAGTTCTTTTGTTTTCCACGTGGCTCTTATTTCATTTAGTTGAAGAAAACTACTTCTACTTTGGCCTATACTTTGTTTCAGCCTGATTACGACGATATAGAGGATGACTATGGCAGAGCGATGAAGCACCACATGATGGAGGAGAAACGAAGTAAACACGACGATAGGAAAAAATACGGTAAGGAATGTACTTTAAAATATTAATTGCATTTTATTTAATATGCATTTCGTTCCTTCAAACACATCGTATAAATCGTGATTATTTGTTATGTGTTTTAGATGATCCATATTATTGCGGCTTACGGGCACGTGTGCCCAATTTCGTCAAAATGGCGAGAAATGGTCACAGCAAAATGGGTCCTCCTCCGCCTCGAGGACATCCCAGGACACAGCCGGCGCCGTCTTACGTAGGCGCCGCTTACGCTAGTAGTCAATCATCCCAGATATACGGGCACCTACCAGCCCATCGGCCGCCCATTATGTATCATGCCAGAAGCTTTGAAAGCGGGCTTGGTAAGAAATAAATAAATAATTAAGTGATTATCATGTCCTATTTATCCAAAAATAATTGCGTTATTAAATATATAAACTATAATTCAGGATAAATAACTTATTATTATATAACATCGACTCTCTATCTGATTTGTTATTTTAGATTACTGTATAGATTTCTTTGTTGCTTTTTATATTATTTATCTTATATTACTCCAGATTCATTTTTTATCTTTTTTTCTATTTTTTTATGAAAAGGTAATAAAAGAAAAGAAGTAATATAACGGTGATAGTTGCTTCATATTAAGTTGTTTTATAATCACGTTTATTAGTAATAATTGCTGCTATGATTCCAGATTCGGACAATAGGAATGAGTCGCCGTATAATCACATATACGGAAGGTTACCGATCCCGACGAGAGGCGTGATACCTCCGACCTCGCGTGCTATGTATATTGGAGAGTGGGATTAGATGTAAGAACTATCTCGGCGTTTGTACTTATAAACTCTCTCTGTATATTGTTAATATACCACATAAATACTCATATTTTTATGCTAACATTTGTACTTTTATTATTCCATTCCTTGGAAATATAAATCGCGATTACCCAGATTATTCATCATATGAGTTGGGGAAGAGTAGCTTAAATGAGTGTAATTGAAGTAAACTGAAATAAAGAAGTTTTCGCCGTATTTCTATAAAACATTGTTGAAAAAATAAATAAGCGTATCCTAACAGCTATCAAAACAAATAGCTCAACAGGCATTTCTTTGTAGTTATTAACATTAAAATGCGCTAAATCTAATATTTAAAACAAAATCTAAAGTTACTTTTGATGCGGCATTAATTATAATACTGTTATTTTAATAATACTGTATGATTTTGTGTCGCCTGTCTCTTCCTAGAAAGTTTCCATAAAGAGCGTAAACTCTATATATAATGAAGAAATAATTCATGAATTTCTATATATGAATCTATAATTTTGTATACACAATTAAAAAAGTATGTAATGAAACTCAACACAAGGAGCTTTCCAACAAGCGACACACTGTGTAACACAGTGATTATTTCATCTTTGTTTAACGTTGGCGAACAATAAGGATGTAATGATTCGTTGTGTTACACTGTGTCCTTTACTGAAAAGCTCCAACAATACCTAGATAAGCATATATATATAAAGAAATGTCAAAGATAACCCAGACAGCACATAATATTTATGATAAATATTCATAAATATATTATTATTTATTTTTTGAAATATATGAATGTAATATAAATAATATTTGAAACATTATATAAATATTTTATATATGTACATATATAAAATGTAAACGTTTACATCATGCATTTTTGCAGAAATATACAATTTTATAAGCAACAGAAAAAAAGACGGAATAAATTTCCACACAATTTGTCAGTGACTTTCCTTATTTCAAGCACACGCGAGTTTTGAGCGTTATCGATTCAGCGTCGATAAGTCAAGCCACTACTAATGACTCAGCGGATTAATGCTCCGCACTGTACTGCATTATCGTAATTTGTGCAACCGAGACTTTAGAACGGTTCGAGTCTCCGCTGAAGTATTGTCAAATTACAGATCAGCTGATTGACAGGATTTGTAAAACGCGTGATCGTTCACGCATATTCTGCTTTCTGCATCTACAATATTGAAACTATATATGTTGCGTAATAATTTACTGTAATTTAGAAAAAAATATGGCTCATTTTATGTATGTAAATTTTGTTACGTGCGCCAATTGGAAAGTGTTGTCAACTGATCGCAATTATATTTCGCTGCCAAAGTGATTATCGCAGTAATTACGTCTGGAGAACGAAAAAAATATATGGCATACACACAGATATGCACATACATACACACATGGATATAGTGTTTATATACATATACGAACAATTTTCCAACAAAGGAATGATGATCGAACAAGAATAGTAAACAAAAGAGGTTGACGATGAATATATCACAGTTGCTTATCAGCAGTTTTTAATTATTACATCAAAAATAAAGCGACTTTGGAATCAAATGCGCTTGCAGACTATTTTATCGATCATTTGTTACTGTGTTTGCCGCATAGAGTATTCAGTTTTTAATGAATATTGGAGAAGATAATGGATCAAATTGTACAAAAATGGAGACGCTATTTACTTGTGCAACCGCCCCTATTCCTATTATTGATCTCTTTGTCGATGTCAGGTATGTAACAAACCACAATCTTTCATTTTAGTAAAACGGCTATATGGACATATTTTTTTGCAGGTACTATATTCACAGATCTGCTAATGTATCGTACATGCCTTATGACTTTGAAATTAAACGAAACAGAGTGCCAGATATTCCATAACAATAGCACTAGCGAGGAGGTGCTTAAAATTAATACTTTGGCCCAACCGCACGTAGCCAATATTTTGATGAGTAAATCTTTCATAGAAAGCATTTCCCCATCAATCCTAATGTTATTTCTGGGACCGTGGAGCGATAAGTATGGAAGGAAACCTGTTATGCTTTCCGGATACATAAGTAATCATATTTTTATATAAGCACTAAAGATTTAGGTCATTGAGGTCTTAGATATTTAGTTGTGTAATTATATTTTTGTTATGATTCGTTGTAAGAAAAGCTTTTTTATTATTTTTAGAAGTGTTATATATTGAAATTAAATTGATGTAAAAATAAAGTTTTAATATAGAAATTTAAATTTTAGAGTTACAGAGCTTTGAGTTAAGCTGAGATTTAATGCTAACTGAATAATAGTTCTAAATTATAAAGAAGTTATCAATGGTGAAAAATCTTACAATGATATAAAATATAAAATCTGATAATGTGATGTATATGTCAAAAATAATTTAAAATATCATTGATATGACTTTTGTAATTTCGTATTATTATACTTAAAACTCAACTTGGTTCAGGGGATCAATTATGTAATTTTTTCCTAGGGCAGAAATAAAAGGTAAACATTTTTGTATTTACGTGTGTTGTATGTACATACATACACATAGAAATTTTTATATTTCCACTCTAAAGAAAAAAATTACATAATCTATACCAAAAGCTCTTCAATTTTAATTGTTCCAATTATATTTTGAATTACAATATAATTAATTGTTATAATAGATAGTAACATATAAGAGAATATATATATAATAAACCTGCAAAAATTATATGATAAGGAATTTTATAATTCACGTATTATTAAATTACGATCAATCCATGTTTTTAGGACACATAATATAGTTGTTTCATAGTTTTTGTAATTCTAGGCATGTCCTTAACATATATTTTGCTGTCTGTAATGGCTAGTTGGGATATTGAACCTTGGTATTTCCTGATAGCCTATATTCCTGTTGCTCTCTTGGGTGGTCTAAGCGTATTGCTATTAGCTTCGATGTGTTACATCACTGATATAACAGACGATAAAGAGCGGGCATGGCATTTAGCCTTTTTACACGCGTTGGTCTCTCTCGGTCTATTAATCGGATTGCTTTCTGGTCCAGCGATATTTGACGCATGCGGCTACAGTGCTGTATTCAGTGTTGCGACTGTGTTCTGCATTCTGGCAACATTATATATATTACTTTTTGTCCCGGAAACTATACAGAATCAAACTTCCGTAGGTGTTTCAAAGCGTTCATTAAATCAAGTCAATTTGAAAGTAGATGCACAATCCAGCCTACAATTAGAGACTAGAAGAATGAATCACAATAAGCATTTTAAATGAATAACGAATAATCTACACTTTTGTTTATCTTTCAGGGTATCTGCAAGGTATTTGACTTTACGCTAATAAAAGATCTTATTAATACGTGTGTCAAAAAGAGAGACGGATTCAATAGGTCGTTAGTCTGGAGCTGCGTAGCTTGTCTTACACTTCTCCTGATTGTTTATGAAGGCTCTCTCGCTATCGGATATCTATTCGTAAGCGCACGGCTTGGCTGGACCATAGAAAATTACTCCGTTTATAATGCTGCAGATATTGTAGTGAAAGTACTTGGTACGATATTTGGTATCAAAATAATGCAAAAATATGCAGGTTCGTTTTAACAACATTTTAACACAATGTGTTATTTATTGTAATAATTTATCGAGAATTTACGAAATATTTTGAATGATTTAGGATTTCCAGAGACTGTAATTGCTATGGTATCTGTTATATCGTCTTTTGGGAGTGTTTTGGTACGTGCCTTCACATGGCTGTCTTGGCATATGTATTTATCAATGGTTTTAGGAATGTTTGGTGACATATCTCGACCGATGATACGTGCTATATTATCCAAGGCGGTACCTGTGCAAGACGCAGGTAAAACCTCGTATTTTAATTTTAATATAAGTGATTATAAAATAAACTATAAAAAGAAGGACGGTTTATTCAGCAAACACCAACTACCAATAACATATAACTGTTACTATAATTTTCTACTTATATATAATAATATAACTGTAATAATATATAACAGTTATACCAGAATATTTGCCGAGTTATTACCGTGTTTTATCTAATGCTAATGCCAACATTTCTTACCGTTTACTTTATCAATACCAGGTACGCTTCTCACATCTCAAAACGGCGTAAGGTAATAATCTGCAAATCTTTTAGTATTTTTGAAGATGGTTTATGGACATTTCACCTTCTACCATTTCATCGTCGTCACTTGTTCTATCCGCTATTTATAGATAGATAGACGAAGAAGTGTCGCGGATGGACAAGTGTCCTTACGGCGCGCAAAAGAATTTAAACGAAAAAAATGTTTTGAAACAAACAGTAGACGGTTAAGTGTCGTGGACGAAGAAATGTACTAGACGGTAAAATATCTTACGAACAAGTGACGACGATGAAATGGTAGAAGGTGAAGTGTCCATAAATCTTCGAAGATAATATCCATAAAAGCCTTAAAAGCATATAACAGTTATATAATACGTAACAATTGTTGAATGGGAAATTATAATTAACGTTTTTGTTATTACTGTTTGTTGCTATTTGCTGGGTAGGTTTGTGCCAGATAAAATATTCTTACTTTGTATACACGATCCCTAATGATTTCCTAAAATACTTACATTTTAATCTTGAAAAAAATATGTTTAAAAATGTATTTATTTCAACAGGGAAGGTTTTCTCTGTGGCTATGACTCTAGAGACACTGTTACCATTTGCGGCAGATTCTCTATATACTTTACTGTACTCCCACTACATGCCACCTTTATACCCTCTACCAGTGTGGTTTTTATCAGTAGTATTTTACGTCATAACTATTGTGACATTGGTATATATTCAAATACAAGTGATAAAAAGCACCACAGTGTCTTATACTCCAATAACAGAAGACAGTAACGACTCTTTGATATCTTATCAAGAAGACACAAGTACAAATGTTTATGCTCAAGATAAATTAAATGATTAGCTAAATATGTAAGACATTATTTTTGTATATGTATTTTTAGCAATATGCAAAGCATTCTTTATATATATTTATAGATTTTTAGATTTGTAGATATGTACATGAAACTTTTATATTATATATATATGAATCTATAAATAAAAATCATATATATATACACCCTTTAAAATATGTTTCAATTATTATTATGAACAATTTCCAATTAATAACCTTGCATTATTTTTATAGCGGAAGAAAAGGAATTGTTAATTTTTTGCATATATATGTTTTTTTCTATAGGGCATTCTTAACATGTTTTTATTGCAACATTTACTACAAGCGAAAGTACAAAATAGAATTAATGTGAAATTAAAGTAGACACGTAAGAATATGATAATAATTTTATGATCTAACTTAAGGGGTGAGGCCAGTCTAGAATTTTCAAAAAAATCGTTTTTTTTTTTACTTAAATGATGCTTTAAGATCTTAGAAATAAGGTACAAAAGGTTTTATAGTGAAGAAAAATTTCTCAGTATCATTTTTGAAAGTTTAAAGCGTCGTACTTTTCAGTAAGATTTGTAGCTTTTGCGAAAGGGTCCTTCTGAGAATAATAATGGAATTAGTTACGTGTGACTCAGCCAAGAAGAATCAGAAAGAAAAGATCATCAACGAGGAAAGCCTATTGTATGATGCAGGCATCGCAGATTAAGGATAAATTTTTTATCGCTGATTGTTACATAAAACTTTAAACGCATTTTTCTCGATCGCTTTTTTCAAGATGGTCAGAAACATAACAGTCACAAATCTTGACTGGTTTGCTTGAAATTTTAACTTGCTTTAAAATTGCATTTTTTGTTGCTTTAAAATTGCATTCTCTACAAAAAGACATACGGATTTTTTTTTATGTTGCATACTTTGTTTTATATAAACAATTTTTCACTTATTTTTTATCTTTTAAATTTAACGTTTATATTTCAAATTCATACCATTTTTTCAAAAAACGGTATATTGCGATTTTCGTACGTTTTTCTTTAGCTTTTGGAATGTAGATTAAAAAAATTTTTGGTTTTTTGTTCTAAGTAAAAAATGCCGGAGTTATCGTTCCCGACCGCAGAGTATTGTCCATGAGAAGACGTTACCATTGCAGAGCTGTAGCACCGCCATTTTGTAACAAAATCACTAAAAAATATTTTTTCACACTTCAATGTATGTACAATAAAGACCTAAAATACATATTTTTATTTCTTTCATTACCGAAAAAATTTACAAAGTTAGGCTTGTTTTTTGTGCTCTAGAGTAGTTTTACCCCTTAAGATTAAAAACATAAAATGGTACAACTCCATTTCTTTCTCAACGAGAAAATGACCTCGGACAAAAATCCGTTTTGCGCTTGTTTTAAAATGTTAAAATTATTACATTTGCTCTACTTTCTAAGCCTGTGCCCCGGTGTATTTCATATACGGTAATAGATACAGCCCCAATTTAACCAGCACGTTATACTTTTATACATTTCGTTAAACAGAGTATATATATATATATTCATTATTATTTTAATATTATTAACTTTAATTATCTATTCAACAAGAGAGTTTTAAAAGAGAAATCATATGTTACCTATACAGCACACATTTAAAAGGAATGCCTTTATGTTTTGCGGTCGTCCTACGATATTCCCAGAATATCGCTTGAATAAAATGTGTAGATCAAATATTTAGAGGGAGAATTCTATTTTTGTATTATTGTGTGAGTTGCGTCGCTAAAAAATATAAATAAAATAAAAATTATTTTTGATTAAAAGAATACATATGTGAATGAGTTAAATTTACTGCGAATTTTACTTTCTTTTCTCTATAAATTTTATTTTTACTTTGTAACTTATCGTAGTAATCCACATGATCGCCCGAATTATATTTCTCCTCTTTCAAGATCTGTACAAGACGATTAACAGTTTGTTCTGCAGTCAATACAGTTTTCTTTTTTCTCATCTCATTAAACATCATTTTAACGGTTGGATCAGCAAGTTTTTCGCAAGCCACTGTAAACATATCAGTATCGACAGGTCCAGGTGCGTAATTCAATACATTAACATCGGGGTTTTCCAAAGCAAAGACCTGTACAAAAAAAAGTATATCTACTTCGTGATTACGTGGATAATGTATATTAATTAAAAAATATGTATGTATACCTTAAAATACATTTCTCGTGCTGCTTTCACCGAGCAATACTGACCACAGCTAGCACCCGCTTGAATAGCATATAAGGATGTAATGTTGATAACCGTCTTCTTAATTGTTTTGATTTTAAATGTATTCATGACCACTGCGTTTAATACAGCAGGTACGAAAAAGTTCAGTTCATAGAATTCTTTCCATATTTTAACATCTACCATGTCATTTACACTTTGAGAAATATCCCCCATGGTGCCAACATTATGGACTAGAACTAGTCGATCAAACGATTCTTTAGAGATTCCTTTTAAAGATTCCGATAGGAATTCTAGAACATTATAAAACAATAAACTTTTTTCAACGGTTGCTGTAAATCTGTATTTAAAAAATATGTTTGAAAACAGGAACTTCAATTTACTTTTAATCTCTGCATCAGTTGATTTACTTAAATCTGCGCTAATAGTACAAACTTTCACTTTGGAAGGTAAATTTTTGGCGACTTCCTGCAATGCATCTTTATTTCTTGCTAATAAAAGAACGCGCGAGCCTTCTTTCAGCAACTGACCAAATGTTATCGCTATCTGGCGACCGATTCCACGACTTGCACCAGTTATCAGTAGGAAAACTTTGCCAGATAATGCTTCAATCGACGTGGTGTCTTATGTTGTAAATGTATGGAAACTAATTATTAAGCTCTGACTTATACTCTGTTGATGGTTGGTTTTTTTGTAATTCTTTACCTTGTTCTTGTTGCATAGTTGTTTGAAGTATGTCTGCTTTCACGTGATGAACTGACTCATTGGCTGTTAAAGCCTACAAATGAAATATTATAGGTTTATAGATAAGATATGGGTTGGATTTATTAAACAAAAAATTATAAGAATCATATTCTAAATCATTATTATTATAATCATGATTATGATCATAATCATCATTATTTTGTCACTGATCATTATCATCCAGATACTCACCGGTCGATGGGGAGCTGTCGATGAGGATATGTGCCGTATCACAGGATCAAACTCCAATTCAGGATCTTCTTCTTCAGACTCTAGATCGCTCCCGCAAATGATTAAACGCGTGAAGCAATCCTTCTTTCTTAGATGCTCTCTCCAGGCACGTGCTTGAAGCACTCTCAATCTGTGATCTGTCATAGAAAAAAAAAAAGTTTTATCAGAAAAGAATTAGAAATCGTCAAAAATGTCAAAGGCGTGAATCAATTCTTACCTAGCTCGTATAAAAATTTCTCCGAATCGGACAATGGTCTGTGATTTTGACTGTCTCCGTTCAAGAAAGAATCTTCAAAACGAACGTTCGGCTTGCCGTCGTCGACTGCAGCTTCCGCTGTTGTTTTTGGAACCAACAATCCAAAGCAAGGATGTATAGGGCTCATTTCCATTATAGATCACGCAGTTATCTAAAAGTGACCTTGAAGAATTGCGCCACACGTATTGCACTTTCGCTTATTTCCTCTATTAATCAGCTCAATACGCGAGGAAATTGCGTCGTATTGAGTAAGAATGTTACACTCCCATGATAAAAGCATGTCGATTCCGCGCCGTGGACCAGCGAAAATAACAGATATCCATTACTGTTAAGAGCGGTATCGACGAACGATATTTTAGTATTTAAATCGATATGATTTTCTGCCAATTTTATATATGCACATATTTCTTTTAAATTACATTTATATATAAACTATAAAATAAATTATATTTATTTTGAATATATGTGTAAAAAAACTTTACTATTAAAATATTTATTTCATATATATATTTTTTCTTTGTGAGAGTTATTGCGCGCATTATATTATTTAAGATATATATATGTATCCTATAATTAGGTTTAAACGGTTTAATTAATTTTTTATTTGCTGATAACATTAATTTTTGTTGATAATATTACTATATCTGTGCATGTTATTTCATAAAGTTTAACACAGTAGGAAATATACACGAACAGAACATTGTTCTTATAATAACTCTTGTCACAAATTAGATATGAAATAATACGTACATAATTGCTGTCATCTTATCAGACTATTATGCCTGATCTTCCATTGTCACATTCAGGAATATTTTATGCAGAGTGTTACAGAAATAAACGTGTAGATTAATTTTATTCACTTGGTTCTTTTATATACGATACGTTATATTGAAGACCTACATTTGTGGGTAATATTTTATTTCTATCTCTTGCATAGATAGCAGGTCACATTGATTAATACAGAGACAAATAGTCGATTATATTACGAGAAATACTGCATAAGCGAAATTTCTTCATGATATACGTCTGCAATACATATGACACCTACAATTCATTTCTTATACACATATACGCATACAATGCATGTAATTAGCTTGACGAATTCCTCAAACTGTAACATATATAATTAATGCAATTGTATAAAAAAATAAATAAATTATATTAGAATTCATTAATAATTTGCAATCGGAATAACTTATTATATCCTAATAACAAATTTACTGTGTATTTGATTTCATTTTTATTTTCCAAAATTCGTGGGTTTGATTATGTAGAGAACACGATTCTATTATTTCCCCCAAGACATTTTGTGAAGTTAGACCTTATAAGAACGAGGTATTGATTTAAAACTGTGAATTTTGAAAAGTACAAGTAATGGGATTTTTAATCTTTTGAGATCAATATGATAAAAAATCTACACACACATACACGCATACATAAATGTACACGCACCTCATTTCATGCACAAATACTGTACTGACTTAACGTGTCAAATTTGAATTTTGTATTGCAGCAAATGAGCTCATTGAATGGAATTGCGTGAAGAGCGTGATTTCAACTTTTCTTGAGAAACATCAAGCTGAAAACTACTGTATGTTAGTAAATATGCTGAATTTTTGAAAATATTAGCGTTAATATATGTCACCTAAAATTTATTTTTTACATTTTAAATTCTTTGAAAAGTAGTTTGCCATACGAACAAGACAAAAAATTTTATTAGTAAATCATGTGATGGAACACCAATAAAGAAAAATATCTTTGAAATAATTTTTAACTTATGATGATCAATTACAAAAAAAAAAAAAAACAGCGCAATCATTTAATTTCAATAAAAAATTCATTTAACGCGAAAAAATTGTTTACATTTGTGTGTGTGTGTGTGTGTGTGTGTATTCATGATTATATTTGGCATCAGAACCTTAAAAATGGTACTACTTGTAGTGTACCCTTAAAATTATCAATTTTAAATCCGATGTCTCATTCTAACTTTGCTAAATTTCTTGGCAAAATCATGGAAAGGCTTATTCCTAACACAAAGCTACGTGACTTTTGGAAAATTTTCGTGGACACACAGTGTTACATAATCATTGATCTATCTTAATTCGTACTAAAAAAAAGCACATATGTGTATAACGCGTTTTTCTCATTATTCTTCATTGAGATCACTCGTAACAGAATAAATATGTCTCATTCGACAGTTGGAATGTTCCTTTCTTCTATATTGATACGCCCTGCAGATAGTAGAGAATTATTGACACAGATATTGACTAAAATTCCGCTGTCCTTATGGCTATTCTATTATCATTTTTCTCTCTCCGAACTGTAGTGACAAACATCGAATCAACATGTGCACATTATCTCTTGCATATAATATACATGTGCATTCGCAGATACACTCAACAATAAATACACGGCATACGAGAACAACAAGTACTCTTGGTATATAGCTATGTTTATTGCTATTCAATAATTAAAAGTAGAATACCACAAGGTCTACTTATCATCTTATAGACAAGTGTCAAACTGTCATATCCTTATAAATAATGCTTTTTCAATTGTAAACTAGAACAGTGTCTCCTAATGTTTTTTAATATAAATCTTTTAGCATATAAGATTGTTAACACTCCCCCAAAAATGATTTTTCCTTTTTATAAATTTTTCTTATGAGATCTTTCACAAAGAGAAAGATATTCATGTTTATAATATCTTTTTTCTAGTTATTTTACTTTCTAATATTATTTGAAATAAACTTTTTTTTATTACACATATGCATAGTAAAAATTTGATCAATTAAACAAATGCACTATTTTTTCCTATGACATATAAAAATAACATGATAGATAAATATTATTCAAATAAATAATAATAAACAAAAAATTCTCGATGTTAAAACAAGGATAAAATAAAGAGCAAATCCGAAAGTCGCTGATAAATAGAATTGGAACAATTTTTACATATGTAAAAATTAAATATAATTTAAACAACAAATTTAGATACAAAACTGCATACATAACATGTTTCGGCTTCTGGTTTGAGCCTTCTTCAGATGTATAAGAATTCCATTGTATCATAGTGACAATAAATTATAAATATACTCTTATAGTGCGATATTTAATGAGTGACTCTCAACCAAAAAAATGAACTAGAGTTGACAGATGATTGGCAAATCGAATATTGGATAAATTGTTCAACTTATAATGAATTAATCGTAAGATAAAATAATATACTCGTATACTCAAACCCAAAGTATTTGTTTTGTGTGTGTGTTGTGTTTGTGTTGTTGTGTGGTCTGAAAAATATTTTATCAATTATCTAACTGCTTAATATGTGTGTTATTTAATCTGCTAATAACTATTACATTATACTGAACTATTTCTTGAATAGAACGCACACATACTCTTTCTCATACTATACTTCTCTCTCCAATAAAGTAGTAAATTTGTCACAAATAGGAAGCACTGTTCTAGAATCACAAATCTGTGTACACATTCAAGATACTGTTCTTTAAAAATATATGTGCTGGAATAAATATGTATCACGTCATGTACATCTATAGAAACACGTCCAGCTTTACTCATACTCTTTTGCTTTTATTGCAATTCTATGCTAAAGCTACTTATAGAAATTTTTTTCTTCTGTCTACGTTATAATTAGGATTATAACTTAGAAAGATGAAGAATTATCTTCGAATTTTTAAACAACGATATACGACGTTAATGTAATCATCATTTGCTATTAAGCGACTAAAGCTAAATATAAGTACTGCTTTTTTTGTACAATTTCTTTAATATAAATATCGATTTAATCGCGTATTAAAGATACATAAGCCATATAAGGAAGAGAGAAATGCATTTAGTATAATGCAACCGATAATCCTTACAATAAAATTAGATATTGTACGTGTCATTTTAAATATTTCCATTTTTTTTACACATATATATGTTTCCGCAAGTAACTATACAATTGTACATTATTATGCAACAATTAGATATTTGTTCAAGTCGCAAATTTTATTCCAAATACGACAGGCTTAACAAAATTAATCTATCACGCTATTAAAAGTCTATAAATTGAATAAATTTACTAGAGTCAACCAGAGATAAATCAAATTGAATTATCAAAAAATACTTATGTATGAAAATATCATACGAAAATATATGGTATCCATTTTTGCAATTTATAAAACTGATAACACTTGTTTAAATATATGTAGTAATATAGTACTTGTTCTTCAAAATACAAAGTTAATTATATGTATTCCGATATGCTGATCACAATACAAGCTGATATTATCTATGATCTACCTGTTATGTGGGAACTCATTGTAACACAGAGAAGATCTATATACCATTGATTATATCTATATAACTTATACACAGAAGCTATAAATTTCTACATTTAAATTACTACAATTTGAGAATGCGTTCGTTTTGGGGTATAAAGTCGGTTCAACTTAAATAATCTAAATTTGAATCGACTTTACACTTAAAAGTATTTTTTCGTACTTTTTCTGTTTCTGTACTACCAAAAGTAACGCAGTTTGAAATGGAATACATCTTACTCTAGACCGCCTTCTTCCTCCAGTTTCGATAAGAATTTTGCAATTCTATAACTTGGTTCCACTTGACGCGCCATATCTATTAGGCAAAGCAGTTTCTTAATACCGATGAATATTCTGAAATCATAAAATGCATGATGATAAAAAATATAATAATAAAGTATATATTATAAAAATATATACTATATTATAAAATATCTAACAAAATATTTGCTCTATATACTATATGTAATGGATGTATACAAATATATAGTTTTAATAAAATTGTTAATAAAGGTTTTATTAATATTTTACCGTTTTCCTTGAAGCTTTGCATGCAATGCAATCATTTCGTGTTTTGAAAAAAGATCAACTTCTTCTAACACGCTTAACAAATGATCAGAGCTTGACAAATTAGGCACATGAAGGATAGTATTAAATGCTGGAAGTAATTCCAGATCATCTAAAACTTGTCTGCAAAAAGAAATATATTATTGAGAATACATTTTTAAATCACCATTCCTCTATGGAAAAAGTCTTTATCTTACCGACGACTAGAAGTGCATAGAATTAATAGTTTACGACCAGGTGGCGGTGATTTTTTTAATAACACCAAAAGTGCTTGTAATGTCAGATTAGAATATCTTGGTCCAATTGGGCCGTAATCCAGAAGACGTTCAATATTATCAACTAAAATGCAGCTAAGTTGCGAACGATATGCATCGTCAAATACCTAAAATGTACAAATAGCGATTATTTTAAGCTTTACATAAGATATAATTACAAGTATTTATAAATAAATTTATAAGAGAAATATAAAATAAGTTGTATCATACCTTTCGTATAGAAAGACATTTTGCCGATTCAATAAAACCGACCATGTCTTCAGGTGTACACACTTTAACAAATGGAAAGTCTGAATTTTTAGCAATTTGTGCAGCAAGCGCCGTCTTTCCACTGTTTGGTGGTCCCTCCAAAAGAACAGAAACAAGCCCAGATCCTTCAGTTGCCCGAGCTTGTTGAATGCATAGACCACCATCAGCGAGAATTTCAACCACTGCCCTTCCCCAGTGAATAATTCCACGGGTCAATAATTGAGTCAATGCTTCAGCACTTGTACCAAATGCCTAAAAGATATGAAAATATAATATTTAGCTGTTATATATTTTATATATGTAAATAAGTATACAGACGAGAATAAGTAGCTAATATATATTACAAAAAGTAGTAATTATAAAAATAATTATTCAATAAATAATTAAAAATTTCAATTCTCAATCGCTTACCGGTTTAACATCATGTTCCAATGCATGGAAAAAGTCGCTTTTAGACACCATAAGCTTTTCCATTGCAGATGGATCTACTTCTACTTTGCTAGAAGCTTTAATTAATCGATTCATGGCAGTACTCTGTGCTGCTCTAACTAAACCTTCCAACTCTGCACCACTAAAATTCTTGGTCAAAGTGGCCATTTCTTTCAAGTCTACATCAGGCGCTATTTTTTTATATTCTCTCATTCGAGATGTGTGGATATTAAGAATTTGGTGCCGTCCATGTTCGTCTGGTAAGCTAATTTCCATTTGCAACTTTAAGCATGGAAAATAAAGATACACTTAAAACATTAAATAACAAATAAAAAGACATATTTTAAGATGTATCAAACTGAATTGAATTAAACGCGAATTGAACACTAAAAACATTCTGTTCATATTCACATTTGTGTGTGTACATTCAGCTTACAAAAACTGTTTATTAAATAAATCCTTTTACCTCCAATCTGCCAGGTCTTAACAAAGCCTCATCGATCATATCTCTTCTGTTAGTCATACCAATAACAAGAATGTTATTTAACTGTTCGACACCATCAATTTTGGCAAGAAGCTGATTAACCACTGTATCATGAACTCCCGTGTTTCCAGCAACACTACCTCGAGATTTACAAATGGCATCTATTTCATCGAATATAATTATGTGAAGTCCGCTGTTTGGTCCAAGCTAAAAAAATTTACAATATTATTCTTTCAATATTATTTTTTCCCTATTACATATAAAGAGCATCCGATTTATATACATACTATTTCCAAATATATATTTCAAATTATTTACCCTCTTTTCTTCCTCTTCTGCTTCAGCGAATAATCTTCTGATATTAGCCTCGCTCTCTCCAACATATTTATCTAAAATTTGTGGACCATTTACAATTTTCGGTTCCCTTGCATTTAACATTGTTCCTATTTGCCGAGCCATTAACGTCTTTCCTGTACCAGGTGGTCCATATAGCAAAATTCCTTTTACATGCTTGCAACCCAATTGAGTGACAATTTCCGTTGGGAAAACACGGGATGCAAAGGCTCTTCGGAAAATGGCGCTAAACTCCTTATCCAAGCCACCAATACCCATTTTCTGAAAATCCCAATCTGGATTGATAATCGCCTGTCGGACAGCTTTCCCTTTAGACTGTCCAACAAGATTCAGGCTTGAGTTTTCTGCCTTCTCAAACTGGATTATACTATCGCCTAAGCAACGTCCCATTTTTGTCTTCTTAGGCATTGCACTTTGCCCTGAACTGATGGCTGACAAGTCAGCAGCTTCCAAACTTTTGACTTTTAATCCAAGCAGTTTCTTATCCTTAAATTGAAATGCCAGCTGCTGACCCACGGTGAATGCCTGTCCGGAAAACTGTAGTAAGAAGTCCTTGGCCATTTCATCCGTATTGTATGGTTCCAAAGTGACACTGGGGAGTAACAATATATTAATATAATAATAATTTTTAAAAAAACTAATAAAAGATTGTAGTATTCAAATCCAAATTCTTTGAATTTGTGTATAAATTTAATTACGTTTAATTACATGAAATATCTTATAAACTATCATACAAATATTTTAGTCTTCATCATACATGTGTAATATATAGTTTTTCCAATTAACATACGTTTTTTTCTGCAGAAAATCAGCTTCCAAAACGATGTTGCATAAACATTCTGTATTAGAAGTTGGATCAAAATTATATGGTCGAACTTCAATCTCTTGATTGAGAGACAATGTTGCCCATTTTCGTTGAGGTAAGCTAAAGCCAACTGTGCCACGTGGAATCTCATGGTGTGTTCTCACAGTAAACACAAAATGATAATTTGGTGCTGTAGTTACTTCAACGTGTCTATAACAGACAATAGAACAAATTAATTACTATACTTAATCACTATACTTATTGCATCATGATTTAAAAATATACATGATTCTATGTAGTCTATAAAAAACTTGTGTGTGTGTGTGTGTGTGTGTGTGTATATGTGTAAATTTTTAAAGAAATTAAATTAAATTAATATCTGCTCAAATAAATTTTTTCAAATTAAACTTAATAAACCTCCCATTTTTGAAGAATTTTGAAATAAAACAATTAAGTTTATATAAATATTAGTTTGTTCAATTCAGTTTATATAAGTTAATAAAATTATAAAATGCTTTAGTTTTTATTTTAAAATATATGTATATTTTATTTATAAAAATAAATAATGAGATAAATAATTTGTTGTCTTAACACAGGTCATTTTTTATTCCAAGATTGCTTCAAAGATATAGATAAACATTTTATATTATATACTTAAAAAAATGTATTAATTTATAAACTAACTTAACCCAAATTTCTATAATTGATTCTAATAATTTAAATATTTATAAGATAACTATAATATGAAAATTATATAATACATTCTCTTAAAATATGTTAATAAATTATATAATAAATTTAAAATAAAAATATTCTTTAAAATAAATTCTTTTGTATAATCAATAACTTTTCTTAACACTCAGCCTATTTTTATATTTCACCCAGGTTTAATCCTAAGACAAAGGTGACATATGTAGCACAAATATGTGTTAATTTACAAACTGAATAAATATACATATTTAATTTCTTAATCGATTTTAGAGACAATCATATGGCGAGACAATCATATGCGGAAAAAAATTATAATACAAATGTCGAATCGCAAATTCTTACCTGACATCGTCAGGGAAATCGTCGGCGTTGATAATAGCACAGTTGGAGAGGCTGAGCTCATCCGTAGGACACCTCACTGCTTTCATCCGCTGAAGCATACAAAATTACGTTATCTCATATTTTATGCAAGACAACAAGCTTGACGAAGGGGAGTTATTGATGCGGCTTCGATTCGAAGGGGGAGGGACGATGGTGCGGAGCAGATTGCGCGGATTTCTAAGGAGGCGCTTGACACGTGCTTTTATCCGTGAGACCGACAACTCCCGGTGGCATCGCCCGTTTGCGACGGCGACGAAACCCGCGCTTGGTTCTCACGATCTTCACGGTACTCACCATCTTCGACATGTCTTACGATGAGAAAACAACAGATTCTGGCTGCACTACGACACAGTAGCGCAACCGTGTCCGCACACTCTCTGCACCTATGATATTGATGCGGCAAAGTTGACCACGGTCATGCGCGAGAGAAAGAGCGAGCAGTCGCCCTCTGCGGCTGCGCTGCGTTTAAAATCTCCCACCAGAAATATTAATTCTGAAAAGGTGCCTTTTCACGAGCGCTGAAACTGGCCGTTCCAGCGACAAAAAAGGTCACGTGATAACTTTTGTCGCAAAATTGTTACAGCGACAACTTTTTACGTGAAATAGGGGCAGAAGCATTAGGGACCTATTCTGTAACGATATCGTTAAATTATCGTTGCGCAGCTACTTTTGGTATACAAAACCTGCGCAATGATAATGTAACGATATCATTGCAGTCATTAAAAGTTATAGAATAAGGCCCCTTAAAATTGAAACTTGAGCGACTGATTTCGTACATATTTTTCACGAAAGTGTCATCCACTATGAGTTCTGAAGAACCATACTCGACCGTAACGTAAACAGGGTCATGGTCGCAAACTGGGACATTTACCTTAATTAGGTTTATATTATAAGATTTGTAATTAATTATTAAATATATACAATTCATACCTCTCACAAATTTTACATAACTAAGGTAATCATATTTAATTTGTGTACGTATTTTATTTTATATACTTACTTCATTGTCTATATTACGTTCCCTCAAAGAATTCATCTTTCCTCGAAGCCTTTTATTATGTTCGATATGTTTTTAGTAAAAAAGATAATTTTTATTTTAAATAAGTTTTCAAAGCTTATTTTATGTTTCTTTATTTTTAAATATTCGTCGTACCAGTCAGCACCGAGAGTATTTGAAATAATTTTATAAAATCGGCCGAAAGTTACATACACTTTATGTATGTTCACTTTGTACTGGCATCTTTAATTAATAACCAGTTATTTTTCATGGTAATATATTACAATTAATTTAACTCGTGATAGTTTTAACTGCGATAGTTTTAAATATACGTCATACCAGTCAGCAGTCGGTAGTATTTAAAGTAATTTTATTTAAAATATATGTTACAAAAATATATATATATATTTATATAGTATATATATATATACGTTCATGTATTTAATATGTATTTAAATGATGACTGCTCGGTCTATCGATTCCGTTTTTCGTTTCCGGACGGCACCCTGATTCCTTTTTAAGTCAAAAAGTGCAAGAAAGTGTAACATAGCACAAAACAGATTCACAGTGCCACACGGTTATGTCAATCGTTGTTGTGTTGAGTTTTGATACGTGTTGAAATGTAGTTGTTTGATTTAAACCATTTAGCTTACGATAAATTTTTCATTTTTCTATCTAGGAAGATGATATCAGCATAAGAATGTATTCTTACCGCCGACGACATTGATGAAGATTTATTTCGTGTAAATAATTTCTAAACATTGAGACAAAATTTTAGGTTAGAACATTTAGCTTTTAATTTCGTATATATTGCCAGTAAAGTATGACTTAAGTATTTCTTAATTAATATTCAAACTCTGAATATTATTTTTTATATTGTTAAATTTATTATAATAAGTGCTAAATTTATTTATTAAATATATATAAAATATCTTAATAATTCCTGTTTAGTATTTTCTACAACTTTTTTTAATATTTTATATAGAAAAAAAAATTAATCATGGAGCGTGGAAAGACTGGGATTGGTAGAGCAGCAAAAAATAAAATTGCTCATCATCCTTCTGATTTATTTGCATTAGGATCGAAAAGTTCACGGAATGATAACTCTGATTCTAAAAACAGACCAGGCGTTATCCATTCCAAATCAAGTGGCAGTTCTACATCTTCTGGTAAATATCTTCTTTTTTTTTTCTTGTAATATTCTTACAATTGCGAATTATTGTTTATATAAATTATTATATAGGTAATGATCGAAAGAAAGAAGCTCCTTCTGGATCATCATTTATGTATGTGCCACAGAAGAAGCCTAAGTTAGCCCATGTTAGCTCCCATCAACGGCAACCTTCTTCCAGCGCAGAAGCATGGGAGGTTTTAGTTATAGACACTGATCCTGCAGACTTTGTACCTATGGCACTTGAGGCTAATGACAATGATGAAGGTGACAAAGTAATTGGGATAATATGTGGTGCTATTAAGACACTGAAGAATCTGAGATGGAAGCCTGATAATTTACTTTATATGGGTTTGTTATATTTAGCAAAAATACGCCCATCTATTTTCTCAAACGATTGCATATTGCATGCATTATCGTCTCTTCTAAGGAGAGATTCTAATAATCAAAATAGCTACAAGACTAAAGTAAGTCCACTAGTTCCTGTACTTGCTGCAAATCTCTTGATGAAAGGTTTTCACGACAAAAAGAACTGGCCAGAAGTGTTTGTAAAGGTTATTTATTTGCAATATTTTGTATTGATATTGTATAATTTTGATATTTTAATTGATTTTTAAAATTATTTCTACAGTTATATGTTGAGGATGCTCTTGGAGAACGTGTATGGGTTGACCACGAAGAATGTAAGGGTTTTGTTGACAATATACTAATGGGTTTTAACACGAGGCATCCCCCTAAGTCTGTGTTGCAGCCAGAATTTCCAGTACTAATGCAACGGGATTGTCCCAGCCCATCTACAGTGGACGATGAAGATCCAGGGGCATCAACGATATCATTATCTGGGGATAAGGAGAAAATAGAGTTTCCAGTAGGACCACGATATGCACATTGCGTGGAAAATATAGAATCAATAGTACTGGAAGCCGTAAAAGAGCAATTAAACAGACGCCAGGCTGAGACCATAACAAGAAATTTCTTAAAGCTGCTCTCTTCGGCGTGTGGTTTTGTTGAGATCAGAAATATCGCTGTTCCGAGGCTAGAAGTGTGGCTGCACAATCCTAAGTTGATGAGACCCGCGCAGGAACTGCTTATTTACATTTGCTATAATTGCACGTCTCATACTCAAAGAGACGTAGAGGTCATAAGTCAATTAGTTAAGATGAGATTGAAGACGAAAGTAGTAATAAATCTGTATTTGAATGGTGTCAAGGAATTGATCGGACTACATCCTGAGAATTTAGCTACCATACTGAAGCACACAATCTACAATGAATTATCGAATGCACGCAATCCAAACAATATGCCCATGTTGGGTATAATGTTTCAGATTTTGCCCGAACAAGCAGCAAAATTGCTTGCAGAGATCTTTCAAGAATTATTGATGAATCGCGAGGATTACTTGAGACCATTGCGTGCATTGCTCAGGGAAATCGTACGTGTCTGTCGACACGACATCAATCTAATTGCTTTTGTTCGAACTTTAATGTCCGAACGACCGGACATAGCTCAACAGTTGCTGAATTTCGAATTTAAGGATCGCATGTTTATGTCAATAGTGGATTTATTGTGCCTGTGCATGCTCTTGGCAATAAGTTCGCAGGTAAAGGAAGCAGGAACACTGTCGCAACGTGCAGATAAGAAAGATGCGGCTCTGCTGCACCAATTTCAAGATCTCGTGGCCACGATTCAATACGAGACTGTGCTGTGGCTACAGAATTCAGCACAGCAGATGTACACCATTGGACGAAATGAGCTGTTGCATGCAATGCACAAGATCATGCTCTTGGAGTCTCCTGAACAGTACTATAAACTGGACAATTGGCCACCGGAATCGGATAGAGTATTTTATATACGACTAGTTTCCGATGTTCCCTTGTTGCAGAGCACATTGTGGAGATTACTAATGATCGGTTTTTCGAAGGTAAATGCTTAAAATCTTATTATCTAAAAAACGATTCTGTTGACAGATAGTTTTTCATTTTGTTTTTATCTATAGGAGAATGGTATTACTCATTCGGAGACTTTAGATTTGGCTGATTTATTAATACGACGAGCGGCAGCTAATTCGACGGAGAGTTTCCCGATGTTACAAATTGATAAAATGGATATAATTGAACTTATTTTTGATCTTAGCATTTATCAACCACCAGGAACAATAAATATACCTGCTGGGTAAGTCTCTCTGTATGTAGGTATATATTATCTTTACAGTTGCAACTGTGTATTTATTTTGTAGATATGTACCACCAACATTGGCGATAGCTAATCTGTATTGGAAAGGATGGATAATGTTATTAATTTTGGCCGCTCATAATCCGTCCACTATTGGTTCACTAGGATGGAGACGATACCCTATATTGAGGACACTGATGGAAATGTGTATTACAAAGTGAGTTTAATAACTATCAAAGATTGTTGCTTGTATATAAATACTTTGATCATATAACTAATTCCGCATTTCTAAAACATTTTGTAGTCATTTCTCATATCCACCGCCAACTATGGCTTTGCCGGAGGTCATGGAACAAGAACGTGCGAAGGAAATGCAAGTTGAAGCTATCGAAAAACAAGAGATATTAGAATATGAATCGCATTTGGCTGCAGCGTCGAGTAGAATCCAGCTATCAGAACAGAACAGTTTTCTGCTATCACAGTTGATCACTATGGATACAATGGGAATTGCTAGAAGACCACCACCGCCCGTACTTGAACAGATACAGTCTTTAAATACATCTCACAGACTAGGTCATTTGCTTTGTCGATCACGTAAACCGGACTTCTTATTGGACATTATTCAGAGGCAACAACAAAGCTCGTCTCAGAGCATGCCTTGGTTGGCAGACCTTGTGCAGAACAGCGAAGGTTCTCTGAGTCAATTACCAGTGCAATGCCTCTGCGAATACTTATTGTCAACTAGTTCACAGACAGTCGAAAAACAGCCCAGGCAGCAGCAGTTATTAGCCCACCTTCAGACATTATTAACTGATTCAAATCAGGATCAGCAGCACGCTTATGAGGTTTTGGAATACTTTTTGAGGAGACTGAGCAGTCAGCAAAGCAGTAGCCGAGTTCAAGCAATCGCTGGACTCAAGATGGTTCTAGATTCTATACCACTTGATGATGAGAGTATGGATGTGGATGGGGAAAACGAAAAGTATGTTTTTAAATATATTTCAGGAAAAGGAACTGTATATATGTGTGTGTCACATATTAATGTTATTTTTTTCAGGGAGACTTGGCTTCTACGAAAATTGCCGTCGATACCTCACTTCTTATCGGTACGTTCATTAGTTTCTACGGCATTACGTGGTGCTTGTCAGGTTGAGAACAGTCCGGATCTCGTGCACACTTACATATCGTATCTAGCTGTGCATACCGTCGATGATGACTTGCCTGACTTGACTGATTTAGCCAACGAAATTTCTCAATTGGTCGTTGAACGTAGTACCATTATTGCGGCTATCCTGCCTCAACCTGAAAGTGATAATCTACAAACCAAACAAACATTACACTCTTTTATGGCAATCTTTTGTAATTATCTTGAAAAAGCTCGATCGCCCAGAGGAGAAGATTACCAATGGTCTGAAAGTCAAGATCAGATTCTGGTTCAATGGAGTAATGGCGAAGAGTGCACTATGCACATTCTGGTAGTGCACGCTATGATTATACTATTGACATACGATACATCCGAGGACGATCCATTGTTTAGTAATTTGTTGGAAACATGGTTTCCTTTAACGGAGCAGCCAAAAGCTTTTCTCGTAGATACTAGTGAGGAGGCATTACTTATACCTGATTGGCTTAAATTACGAATGATTAGAAGTAACGTGCCCCGTTTAGTTGACGCAGCCTTAAAGGATCTTGAGCCTCAACAGTTGGTACTTTTTATCCAAAGTTTTGGAATACCTGTGTCGTCAATGAGCAAACTACTTCATACACTCGACGCAGGTGTTCAAATTGATCCCAGCTCTGTTGGCGAAGCGGTTTTGGATAAAACATATATGGCACAACTAGTTGAGGTGCAACATCGAAGAGGCGCTACAGGTGGACTGGTGTTCGTTCAGGTATTGCAGCTACTGGAACCGCAATTACCAGACGAGAGCGTTGTGTCAATCGAGAATCTGCAACAGCCGTTACCGGCCAATGCTACGGTGCAAAAGCAGTCTGTTATACAATGCTCCGTGAAGACCGACGTACCTCACTTGATAAATCGACTCTTTATCGAAAATATTCCAATGAATCAGAAAATGGATGCTTATCGGCGTTTACACAAGACTTTGGCGAAGGATCTGCAGAGATCGTGTGTAAAAGAGAGTGGTTCGGTACTGCTGGCGATACAGCACATATGTAGCGTTCTCAGCTCTATGCAGGTCAAGCAGTTCCTGGCCTCGCTTGTGCACATGCCGCAGTACTCTTGCACACTAATGCGCGTGATACTGCTACCGCTTAAAAGGTCTACGTCGAAGCATGTGATCGAATTAGCACGTAATATGTGTCTGAATTTGATATCGCTGATAGGCGATGTGAAAGCGCCTGTTCTATCCATCTTACGAGATTTTGCTAACGTACAATTGACGAAAACACCTCAACGCGCGGAATTGTCGATGCTGATGAACCGCGGTGAAAGCCCAGGCTCGATACTGGAGAGCACGGATCCCGTGAATTTGGAAGATGTGGGTCGTAAACTGTTGGATGTCTGTTTGAAGCAGCAGAAGAATGATGATCTGGTCGAGGCTATGGCGAGATTATTAGTCAGTGATAGTAACGAAGATGCATTGAAACCTCGCATGGGTTTGCTGATTGATTGGCTGGCCTCCGTGGAGCCAGAGTTAATCGGCATTTGTCCGAATCTCCAAATGAAGCTGCTGTTCGGTAAGGCGAAGATGCATATTAACATCGACAAGAACGTTGTGAGCTCTCATTCTTGTAGACCTTACTTGTTGACGCTCTTGACGCATACAGCAAGTTGGACCACTTTATATAAATGTGTTGGACACTTGTTAGACAAATGTGATGACGGGTGAGTAGAGCAAAACTAAACTTTTTCTATCAATCTTTCTGCTTTAATTGTTCATGATATTCTCTGTTATAAACAAATAACAGTTTTTCTAAGTTCTTTAATTATATCAATATATTCTTTATATTTATGAATATTATACAATATACAATAATATGTGTTTGTAGATATGATTCTACTGCAGTTCTGGACTTTTTATGGGCTCTGACATGCAATCCTAAGCTATGGCAGGGCCGAGACAAATTTACTCCGAAGCATTACGTTCCTGAGAATATTCTGTTGTTGGAAGAATGGCAGCTGCTTAATCTAGTGGCATATATAGTGTCTGAAGGTGTTATTATCTGTAAAATACAGAACAGAAATGCCGCCTTAGCGAGGATGGATATTAGACTCGATCTGCTATTACACTGTATATCCACCGAAGACAACCTGATTCCTAATGTGGTTAATTACTTAGCGAAACGTATGATGGATAATACTGAGTACGAATTTTGTAGCGATATAAATTTTGCAGTGCACAATTTTCGTCATGTTAATGCATTCGAATAAAATTATTATATTTAATTTTCAGTGCAGACTCAGCGGATATGGCGCATCAGTTTTTACTGCATATGTACATGAAGATTCCGAAAGTCATTTGCTATCTCAACACTTTCCAAGCGAGCAAGTTCGTCAATGGTTCGAGGATAACCAATTGGACGGGCTCGGTACTCGACTGCATGAGCCACTCCCTGTTGACGGCTCTAGCGGCAACTCCGAGACAAAAAGCGTGGAATTCCAAGTCTCAGGAATTTGAACTCTGTGCGAGAAAAATGGCAGCGGTACATCCTATATTGGTCCTGCGACAATTGCCAATGTTGGCATCTTCCTTGATGGGAAGATGTTATCTTGATTTCGGTACATTTAGATCCGGCCACCATTTGAATCTTTTCAATCAAGTTATGGGGTTATTGGAACTACTGCAGCCACATTTGTTTAACGAGCAACATGAAACTGCGTTGGAAAATACTCTAGAAAATTACTTCCAGTGTTTTCAGGTATTACTATTTGCATATCTTTTATAATGATACATTTACATGATTATAAAATACTGTTAATTGTAATCGTAAATTTAAAAAAAATTAATTTATAAACTGCGTTATAAGATAGAATATTAAATGATTTAGTCTTAATTAGTTATCCTAAAATGTTTTTGTTCCTTCTTCACTTTTAATCCTTCAAATACAAACTGTTCTAACATTATATGATTTTATTTACAGAATTATGGGTATATAAAAGATCTCGTCTCTTTGCTGAACAGATTTGTGTCATTATTACAGTCCTATGTATCACATGATCCACAACGAGCATTGAAATATCTTCAGAAGCATGCACATGCTTTACAGTAAGTTACTTTCTATTTTCTGTGTATATTGTAAATAATTTACATTTAATACGTTTATATATATATATATATATATATATATATAAACATTACATATAGTATATTTACATGTGTATACAGTGAGTTGCAGGTACATTATTCAAACGTACCCGCCTTGAGAACACTTGTATCAGGAATACCGATACCGAGAGAGGGAGAAGATATAGATGATATTTTAATCACCGTAACTCCAGCGCTACATCCACCAGAACCCACTATTCCGCAACACTGGCAATCGCTGCTGGTTACACTCACCAAGCTGCACGGTGAAGGTACGAAAAGTAATTCTATTAAACATCTTTATTTATATTATAAAATTGTTTCAATTAGAGAAAAAGAGTGCACTTAAAACTATTATAATTAAAGTCTCAAATATTTTTTTTAATTATATGAGAGAATTATGTTAACGATTGCACCTTTGTAGAGGTGCTCAGTGCGCTTCAAGAAATCGAGCATGTGGCTTTGCGAAAACCTTCAATTTTGGAGCCTATAACGGACAATATAGCAGAATTGCTTGTATCACCACAAAGTAATATCAGGTCACTCGCTCACAGTCTACTAGCTAGAGCATTGAAACACCGTCCTGCATCAAACGCTAATATATTGTCGGCGTTTCAAAGATGCTTGGACAGTCACAGAGCAGATGTTCTCATGTCAGCTTTAGAAAAATTACCTGATATCATATTGTGCATGCAAGGTAAAATTTCGTAATAAAATGGATTTACGTATCTCGATATTAAAGTATAATAATAATTTTACAAATTTAAATGCCTTTCTTTTTTATATTTTAGAACATGCTTTACCATTGCTGCAGAAGGTGTTCGAGTTGGGTGTAAATTCAAATGTTAACACGATACCTTATATTACTAAGACTATAGCTTTGTTAAATACACAGCAAGGTTGTTAATGTCTAAAACTGTTAATTTTGTAAATATTATTTGTAAGACTTTTTTACAATTAAAATAAAGCAGTGGAAGATTTTTATCTCTTTTCTTCCAATCTGTTTATGTTTAATCTGTAAGAAAGGATTATTTATATTATATTATAAAATATTAGTAAATATAATTATTGAAATATAAATGAAAATATAATAAAATTTTGTATTATTTTTTATGACCAATATGTAAATACAATATATAATGTATATATTCTCTTTAAATTTAATATAATCACACATTTATTGAAAAGCTTCTGAGGGAACGTCATTGACTGAATAATTCTTCATAAAAGTAGTAATTGCGTTTTTTATATTCCACTCTGCATTCTGAAGATATTTGTAGCAGTATCGAATGTTCATCGTAGTAAGTTCACGTAAAAATCTAAGCAGTTGCTCTTTTTCTGTCACGCTAAGTACCGTTGGAATAAATTTGGGCACGATTTTTTTATCATATTTCACTTCCTTAATATCATTAGGGGCTGTACCATCAATGTAACACATATCATTAATAATACAATATTCATTGTCTTCTTTTCGTATAATAATAAAAGTTCTGTTAAACATCATGGGTGGACAGACTGATAGTCGATATGCAAATAGACCTTGCACAGAAACAGCTATATAATTATCTTCTTCATACAACAAGTCAATACAAAACGTTTTAAGATAGTGCATTGTTGGTGGTTGCTTTTGAAGAGCAGTGATTATTTTTTCAGGTCCTCGAAATAGGAATTCATGGCACTTGGCACAATCAGAAATTTTATACCAGTTTCTATTCATAAAAAATGTCTTAACAATCTCTTTATGTATATGATTCGTTATATTATTACCTAACGACATGGAATAGAACGCACTTTTATCATATAGGCCATGCATAACTATTCTATCATCTTGATCATACAGCATAAAAAAATGCTTGACAAATTGCCTGATCAGAGGAATCTTTGTTCCATTGCCTAGATAATAACTCTGGATGCTTGGTACAAACTTATTCTCCATTCCTATGACAATCCCATCTAAGATCTGTAAATATGGGAAAACATTCTTCACAGCTTGTATATAATCCTGAGAGTTGGTATATTTTGTACACAATGGATTTCCATCCAACCAAAGTTCAGTTATTTTGAACTCATGGAAATAACGTAGATACTCCACATCCAAGATTTGATTGTGCCTCAAGTCCAACTTGGTCAGGTGGTAATTGAAGAACTTATCAAACAGAATGACAGCTGTGAGTTTGTTGTATCTCAAGCTCAATTCACGGACAGCCAGTTTCGATTGTTGAGGGTCACGGATGCTCATACTTGTCCTGCTGCAGCGCAAAACTAGATCGAAAATCTTTGGTATGGAAATAGGACAGAATATCGAGCCTAAAGCCTTCTCGTTCTCGAAGTCATCCAGATTGAATATCTTTCTCATCGGCTCATACCTACACTGCAGGGCATCTGCTATGATTTTGTTTGTATTCACTCGCAGCTCATTTGCACCAAGAAATCCCAATACAATATCTATATACAGATCCTGACCGCTGGGCAACGTTATAGTCAATCCCTGCTTCACTAGATTCTCTATGGCGTTAATGGCACATTTTGCGAGAAACGTGCTCTTATTCTTGTCCTCGATGGTGTACATGATCGGTATCAGGAGTGCTGGTTCACAGGTGATTACAATGGCGCGCAGGACATCGGTTCGCCTATACACAGCGCCGTCGAAGACGATGAACTTGTGCCACAGATCTGTACGATTTGCAAGTGCCTTTTCACATATATCGAAAGTCGGCTTGATATACGTAATCCGATGCGGCTCCCATGACGCTTGATTGGTTGTTGACGTTGTCGTTGATGCTGTCGGCGATTTTGTTGGTGATGCCATTATTTGTATTGCGAGAAATAACGGCTCCTCCTAACCTATCTACATCACAACTTATCCAATTAATATAATAATGTTACAACGGATATATAACGACTACACAATAATTAATCCGAGAATGGATTGGATTTTGTCTATTCGAATTCGTATTTTTAAATAGCGAATACTTTTTTGTGGATTCAATTAAATTCAATTAGATTCAATTAGATTCAATTGGATACAACTGGATTGAAAAACTGCATTTCCTATTCAAAACTATGAATTGAACAGTATTCACTATGGTCACAAACGCACTGAAAAAGCTAATATTATTTTATGATTGAAATGTATATAGATATGCTCCATGCAATTCTTATAAATGAATAAAAACGTATTCGGATTGAAAGGGATTCATTTTAACATTCATGAATCCGTATTTCTGAAAATTTGAATCCATTTTAATCCATTTCAATCCATTCTCGGATATTGGGTTAATAAATATCAATATTTTGTTACAAACTTTACTTTGATTTTAAAGGTATTTGCTGTAGTAAACTTTTTCTCTTGTTTATAATATGGAGTGTTTACTCTACTTACAAACAACTTTTGTGATTACTGGTTAGGTTAGATTCGATTGTAATTAAGGTTAGAAAGTTTTGGACACAATAAACCAGAGGCAGATACATTAGCATGAATATTTTAATCGTGGAGAAGGAATTTTTATTCTGTGAAACTACTGCGAAGAGGTTTGACAGGAACGAAAACGTCAAAAACGCTTGTTTTATTGATAATACAGGCGGGTCCAACATTCTTACCATGGAATTAAAAAGTTAATTAAAAAAAATGTAAAGGGTTTAATAAGAAATAAATATTTCTAATAAAAGAAAGAATGGTGATTAAGGTGATGCTGGACCCGCCTGTATTATCGATAAAACAAGCGTTTGAGCTCTTTCATCTGATTGGCATATTCCGTTAGATTCTAAAATATAGACCAATTAGATGAATCAGTTCAATGAGCGGGTTTGCTTCTGGATGCACCTAATATCGAACTTATATCTCAGAGCTCTGATTGGACGGCTTCTTATTTCCTGTTGCCTGTAATTGTGTTTCCAGCTTGACAGGAAAAAGGCAGTAGGGGGCACTAAGAAGAAAAAGGAAAAAAGGCCTTTCTCAGGTTTCTCTGCTGTTGACGTATATGGTTAGGATTAGACATACAAGAAAATATAATCAATTTCACGACGTCGCAGAAATTTGAGGTAAGCTGTTAAACTTTTTATTTAACTTATTTTGAAAATAGTAATTTTCAGTGTTATATCAAAGTAATAGCATAAAGTGTTAAGCTATACATTAAAAATTGATATGTATGTATACAAGAAAAATGTTTGCTGCATGTAATATAATATATACCTATTACCATAAAGATTAAATGCAATTGATAGAATAAAAATGTCCTATAGAAAAAATTTACTTAAATTTTTTATTCATAAAAGACACTGTCTTTACTTATTTTGAAATAAGATAATTTTCTGTCAATACTATATAAACATAAAATTTAAATTATTAGTCTATATATTAAATAATATAATCAAATTAAATATATATTAAAAATTAATCTTTTATTTGGCAATAAGTACTTATATATCTATTAGTATAAAAATCAAATGCAATTAATAAAATACAAATTTTATTTTTGCATTTAAATATTTTCATAACATAGTTCTATAATTTTATCCATAAAAGACATTGTTTCTATTATGACATAATGTGGTTCTAAGGAACAGACTAGTGAGAGTCAACTTGGTTGATAGTAAGTTATAATCCGTTTATTTGTTTATACTTTTACTAGCCTGTTCTTTGGAACCACATCATGTTGTTTTGTTAAAGAAGAGAGTTTGTAAGATTATATTTTAGGAATATGTTTCTATTTATTTAAAAGTAAAAAAATTATTTTCTGTCAGTGCTATAAATATAATGCACAAAATATTAGTTTACACATATATTAAAAATTGATTATATCATACAATTGTATCATATAATTGATAATACAATTGTATATTTGTTGATATAAAGATTATTATGTAATCGATAGAATAAATGTAATTGATAGAATATATACAAATGTTTATTTAAATATTTCCAGGATTTATCCATTGAGAGAGAAAGAAGATATTGTGATAATTGAGGAAATATGTCGAAAGTATTGGACGAAGAATTGAAGCAAGCTTTCTCAAAATTGCAAGAGAAGATGGTAGATACTAAGCAAAAATTAAAGTTGGCTGATATACAAATCGAGAAATTACGGCGTACAAAGCACCGAGCAGAACTCACCACAAAGGAAATTAGCAGCTTACCTGAGGATACAAGAATGTATGAGTCTGTCGGTCGAATGTTCCTCCTAGATAATATGAACAACATTAAGGAGAATTTGGATAGTAGAACAAAAACATCTGATGAAAAGATCAAGACGCTAGAGAATAATAAAACGTATCTACAGCGGAGTTTGAAGGAAAGCGAAAATGAAATCAGAGAAATGATTCAACAAAAACAGAGCAAGGAGACTTCGGGTTAAAACTCGCGTATCAATGTGTGAATGTGCTATTTCAGCTTTTTCTCATCAATATCTTTTGAATCTTTCGGAATATTATTTGAAATATGTATCTGTAAATATATATCGTAACAAATCTATAATTTATGTTGGTTTGACATCACGTTTTGCACGTTCATATATTTTTGTAATTGTGACTTTTTTTATATACTGTATGTGGAATAAAATATCGTTAATGATCAACAGATTGATGCAAGAGTTAAATTAACTCGATTATTTTTAATCAAAATTGTTAGAGAAATATACAAGAAACAATATTGTATTTAAACGATTATAATTAAATAAACATTTTGATTTTATAGTTTAAAGGAAATATATTGAGAAAATTGTTTTTTATTTTATAACTCTATTCTATTGTTTATTATTTTCATAAAAGCAGAATAGACAATAAATAAATAATGATGTGTTACATTATATACTTTGTCTTTTCTAGCGAATTGAGATTCGAGATTGTGTCTGAGCTTTATTAATAAACGTTTTAAGTTGTATATCAATAATAATGGATTTGCTATATTCATATATTTTATGTGAATTTTTTTTCATGTTTGAAGGAAAACTTGCTCCTGAAGTTTGTTTCCATATTTATTTACACTCTGTATATTATATTTATTATAATTCAAATAAATTATTAAAATATAAATGTTAAGGGTCGACAGGAGTGATCCATTCCACTCCCGTGAAGACTAGAAATATTTTTATGCTTTTTTTTTTACAAAAAAATAGCTCTGTACGAGCCTTCAGGAGCCTTTCCTAATTACGAATATCATAATTAAAACGCGATCCATCCAGTATTTTAGCCGTAATTTGGGAATAAAAAATTCATCTTCGACTAGAGGATTCTGGGTCACTCCTGTCGACCCTTAGGGCCTCTTTGACCAACGCCGATTAACTTAATCGACGATTAGTCCATTGGAATTGAGCAATCGCATTTATCATTTAGTTTTGACGACAGACGCGATTGGTCAATTCCAATGGACTAATCGTCGTTAAGTTAATCGGCGTTGGTAACAGTCGCCCTTAATGGATATAAAAACATTTTCTTATAAATATTTATTATATTTTATATAATATTTATATATTTTATATATAAATATTTGTAGGAAAATAAATACCAGTAAAGCTAAGTATATGATTTAATTATTCTTAATTCAACATGAGATAACAAATGTTATTACTAGATATTATCAAATTATTATATTATAATACCAGAGAGAAGCCTGAGAGCGGCCATGCTCGGATTTAGCTGTTACTTTATTTTGAAGCGCCTCTATGTCCACAAAACGTGGACATTGAACTATGTAGCTAATGTCTACGGTCGTGTCGGTAATGTCCACGATTTTTTGGTTCGAATCTTCCCAGGCTTGATTTGACACTATGATTTTATCGACAGTTTCGCCACGCAGAATGGATATCTAGTTCCTATATCACAAAAAATAAATGCTAGTATCGATTGATTGTCTGCTTTATCTGTCTAAATTAAATGGCGGTGTAGAGCCGGTTAACCTAACATCTTTTTGACTAAAATTAAATTTCTATCTGTGCAACATAATGTCGACGTCGATATTAATAAAATCTATTGCGTCATTAAATAGAAGTGTTCATAATGTTTTTACAAAGGTAATCTTTCGAAAAGTTTATTAATATAAGATAACAATATTTAAGCACGTCAATATTCTAAACAACGATAATATTTTTTACAGTGAATGCAGAAAGTACTTGTACTGGAATGATTTTTTTATTAGAAAGGTCTTGTGTAGAAAATATAAAACACTAATTAGTAATTTATTAACAATAAATATAATATATGTTCGTTTCTCGAAATTATTTTATCTAAAAAGATGTAATAATGAAAATATATTATCTTAATAATAATAATAATAAGCAAAAATAAAAAATTGTACTATTTGAACACACAAGAAGTATTCGCATAATTAAACTTTTAAAGCTTAATTGTCATTTTCTGGCTAACTTAAGAGTAGATTTAATCTGGAGGTACCTTACATTAAATTAATTGTGTCTACAAGTCAACATAAATATTGTTCTATTTTTGTTACTCGTGGAATTTAAAAGAATGACATTTTTATTGACTTGTGTTATTAAATGAAAGATATTTCTGATCACCTCTCATGTTTTATCTGTTTCTTGTATAATAATGTCATCGATAAACCATCTGGTTAAGCTTGACCAGTTAACCAGATAATGAAAAATTAAGCCTCAGAGTATAAACATTTTTTTAAAAATCCCATCTGTAAGAAATACTTTTCGTATTCACTGTATGCATATATAGATCTTATATTTAATGTTATTGTTTTTTTTAAATAATTTAATCTTTTTAACTTAATGCACTTAAAGTTATTAATTTAATATATATTTTTATTTGTTACAAAGTGTTCTTTAGGCTTAATTAATAGTTTTTTTATTTATTTAGTTTAGATATATAAACACTTCAAATATATTAAATCAACAGTCTATTTTACCCAAAAAACCTATAAAAATAAAAAAGAAATCTCCAATTACATGGAAAAGCTTAACAGTTTCTGGTGTTGTTGGTGCTGGTCTCATATTATATTTGCATCACCTTAAAGTGGAAAAAGATAAGAATATAGCAAAAGAAAGAAGACGGGAGTTGGGCAAAGCTAAGATTGGTGGCAAATTCGAGTTGGTGAATACAGAGGGAAAAACTGTGAAATCTGATGATTTCTTAGGGCAATGGTTGTTGATATATTTTGGATTTACGCATTGCCCAGATGTCTGCCCCGATGAAATTGAAAAGATGACAAATGTAGTAAACACTCTTGGTAAGTGTTAAACTTAAGTCAATTTTAATAATTAAAATACTCTTGTAGTTTTGCATTTGGTTCATAGAGGGTATATGATTTCTGTTTCTCAGAGAAAGAACACAACTTCAAGATACAACCAATTTTCATATCAGTGGATCCAGAGAGAGATACATCTACTGTTGTCGAAAAGTACCTGAAAGAATTTTCCGACAAGATCATTGGTCTTACTGGCAGTATTGAACAAGTTGGAAAAACGTGCAAGACATACAGAGTTTACTACAGTAATGGGCCTAAAGACCAGGATGAGGACTATATTGTTAGTATATTATGAATTAGAAGTAATTTAACAATTGCAATTTAATAATTTTCTTTGTGTCTCCTTAAATATTTACACTTTTGTAATTGGTTGTTTTATCCGAGTTCTTTGTTTATATTTAATCTATGGAGGGTATTAAATATCAAAATTCATGAGAAAAAAAGAGAAATACTTTATCGGTAACTGGATTATACCGAGATTATGCTGTACTCACGGACACAGGATTATATAAGTAATTTTAGTAACAACTGTGTTTTGACGACATTATAATTCCTTTTTCTAGGTGGATCACACAATTATTATATACTTGATAGATCCAGAAGGCTTGTTCGTGGATTATTATGGGCAAACGCATGATGTAGAAAAGATCGTAACTAGTGTTGTTGTAAATAAGTTGAAATATGACCAGTTAAAGGGTGATACTTCTTCTTGGTTTCCATCATTGCCGATCAAGGGAGTGTTATAAACGTTACGACATTCCTATGTACAAATAATGTAAGTCAATATTCTACTGCAGAAAATGTGCATATAGTATAATTAATATTATACACACACACACACATACACACGCGCGCGCGCGCGCGCATATATATATATACACATACACACATATATATATATAAAAGATATAGAGATATATAATAAATAAATACACATACATGTATATATAAGATATAGAGATATAAATAAAAAACTTTTTAATGCATTAAACGTTGTGAATATAAAAGAAATTAATTGATGCTTTAAAAATAGGTCGTAAAACTGTACATATAAGCTAGATAATAAAACATTTATTATATCTATCTCTTTTTTAAAAATTATTTTAATATATTTCAATTTATACATTAAGTCGATTTGTGTAAGTTGTGTACATCATATTTGTCAATCTTAATACAAGTATATACACATTTACATACATGTAATGAGAGAGCTTCGAGGTAAAATGTTTAATCAAACGTATATATTTTCGGAACAAAACGCTTTTATCTTAAAATTGATAACACTCGTCAAGTCAGATAACTGTCGATGCTTCCCTTAATAAGAAATTTGCCAACATTTATTATCTCATACATATTTTTAAACATATTTACTCTTAGAAACTAGGATTTGAATATTGAATATTTTCAGTTATATTGTTGTACATTTAAAATAGTTTTTTTTCACACTAATAATCTATTATAGGATATTTATGACAAATGAATAAAAGAAATGAAGGGATGGTACCTAGGCTTATTCTGTAAAAAGCCCCTTTTATAGCATTCGAAATGCTAAAGATCTACAATGTGTTGTTTGCTTCTTTTTTTTGTCTTCTTGCTATTTTTCCTTTTTGCCGTTCTATCGATAATCATATTTATTGTAACACGTTTTTTGTCTTTTCTAAAGTCAATATTTGTCTCGGGCGATAAAAAATAAAGAAACGGGATAAGAGATAAAAATAAACGAAAGTGCTAAAAAGTGATAAGAAGCAAGAAACAGGGAGTAAAAGCACGTTCGAGTAAATCAAACTTGAAATTAAGTATCTTTAAAAGCGTTTTAATGTTTACACGATGTTTACAGTACAACATAGTTGCAAATAGGATTGCTGATAACAAAGTTTTATGACGTGCAATACAGTCGTATTAAGGTTTAACAAGTTGCTTTTATTTATTTATACTATTTATGTGTGTATATATATGTGTGTGTGTGTGTGTGTGTGTGTGTGTGTGTGTGTGTGT